GGACCCCGCGATCTCGGCTTACCGATTACGAGTCGTTCATCTCGGAATATGAGAACCTGGAACGCTCTCACCAAGGCCTTCCTACCCTACGTCGCAGCCCCAGACTAGCGGAACTCGACGTGGAAGCCATGGTTCGCGTGTACTAGCTACTCCGCCGGTCGGCCCGATCCTCTCTTTGGATTCCCGGAAGACTCTAAACACTGCATTTATACATGAAACACTGCATTATACAAGAACCGGACTATACCCGCGGCCCCGGGGAAGTCAAAGGTCAACGATCACCGTCTCCTCATCGGTATCCGTAGCGGAATTGGACAACAAGTCCACCATCTCCGGCGCCAGGAGCGGACTCTGAACCCCGGAAGCTGAAAGGGTTGGTGACGCGCCGAACGTAGTGTCCGTTTTCGGTACCCCGGTGACGTGGGGAAATGGGGGCGCATGCCCCGCGGGGGGAATGCCCGCTGGGCGCGGCATACCACGTGCCCACTGGGACCCTTCGGGGGGATGCGAACGGTCGCCCACCACGAACGGGAAACGCCCCTGATAGGCGCCGGCGCGTCGGCACTCCTCGGCCTGAGCATACAACCACGTCAACACTCGCGACACTCTTTCCCGGGAACAGTTCGCCGGATTCAGGGGGTCAAACTTCTTCAACCAAAACTCCCGGAGCGAGCGCCCCTTGAGGAAGGCTAGAGTGGCCATGAAAGGGGGATCGAACGGCTCCGTGCGAGAAGTGGACGGAACCTCCGGCCAAAATTCCGAACCTTGCGACGACAAGTATTCCTGCACGGATCGAGCACCCTGGACCGAGGCCATCATCTTCAAAGAGACCCCGTCGCGAAGAAAATCCGGCCAATACGAATGGGGGTAACAAAGGAAGCGCAACAAGTCGGTCCCATGGCGCCGAAGGATGCGGTATAGGCATCCGATAATGCCCACCAATGGCCCCATGGCCGCCTCGACTTCGGCATTCACTTCGGCCGACCCCCGCATGAAACGACGGTTCCAGTGCGCGAGGACATGGTTCTCCCAGAAATCCTCGAGTTGTCCCTGAAGCTCTGCCCACAGCGGAAGTCGACGCCACGACGAATGGATAAACGACTCCTCTGCTTTGTACTGTTCCCACGGCTTAGAGGACGCCACGGCCAGATAGGTCGCATCAACGTCTCGGGGTAGATTCGGGTCTGCGGATGGAAGGGAACAGCAGCGTGAACGCGGGAGACTTTTCGTTTACCGTGTGCCTTGGCTACCGCCGGTCCTGGGAGGGTCGAACCCTTAGCCCCCGAGCCCGAGGGGGCCTCGACAACGTCCGCCTCCGGGACCCCCGGCGATGGCGTAGAAGATTCCTTCAACGCATCCCTCATAACCGGGAGGGCCGTATTCACCCAAGCACTGAACGTCGGGCCCCGGACTCGCCCAAGCAGGGGCTCCGTCAAACCGCGCGCGGCCTTGGCAGGAAAAATGCCTACGGTCTCGTTGCAGGACTTGAAGTGATCGGGATCACTCGAGGTCCACGCCTCTATCAGCGGCGCCACACCGGCCGCCCCGGACACCTGCAAATGTTGCGCGACCCAATCCCAAAACGACGGGACGGCGTCCTGAAAGTGCTCGTTGGCATGCAACAAGCTCGGGCCGACGTCCGCTCGCTCTCTTGGAACGCGTGAAGTTTCTCCTCGAGAGCGTGGCTGGCCTGTTTCTCACGAAGTAACTTTTCCTCCAACTGGGCCAACTCTTCGCGGTGACGCCGGTCCTGGCTCGCATACCCTTGTACCCGGGACTCCAGGGCCCCCAACTTTCGTAATGCGTCTGCCTGGAAGGCCTCGATTTGGCTCCGGAGGATCTTGTTTTTAACGCGGAAGTCCTTGGCCCTCGCCTTCTGAGTCTTGGCCGCCTCCCGGAGGTCTTGGTTCTCGGCCAGTAGGATGTCCCAAGCCGGGTTGCTGGCAGAAAAACGGGGAGGTTGCGCTTCGAGCTGCGCGAGGCGGTCTTGAGCGACTCTGAGTTGCTCCTGGAGTTCTCCCGCCGTGGTAAGTGCCCGATCCCGATCCTGACGCGCCTTCTCCGAGTTTTCCCTCTCGTCTTCGAGGCTGCGACGAAGGTCCGACATCTCGGCAACCACCAACGACTTGTTCTGAAGCGCCAGCTTGACGACCCCTTCCTTTCCGGCGACCAACCTGGCCGAATGCGCCGTGTAGTTCCGGGCGTCGTTAACCTCGGCGGTCATAACTTCCAAGGCCTGGTCCGCCTCCTGAACTCGATGCCCCAGCTCGGTGGCCTTTTCCGTTTGGGCCGTCAACCGACTCGTCAGGTCCCGGAGTTCTGCTTGCTGGTCGTTCAGCCTGACCTGGGCTTGGTCACGCTGCTCCCGGAGGTCGTGTTGCCCTTGCTCCAAGGATCGGAGCGACTCTTGAGCCTCTTGTAGCAAGTCGTGGGTCCCATCCCGTTCTGCGTGTGCCGTATCCAAGGCCCGCCGACTCGAATCCAGGGCCGTCCGGAGGTCCAGGACTTCGGCGTTCACTTCAGACAACGTCGCTGTCAAGAATTCCACTTCGTCCACCAGGGCGTGACGAGCTTGTGACATGTCGTGGGGACCGCTCCCCAGGGTCGATGCCATCGCTGCCCGAACTTCCTGGAGGACGCGTAACGATCGTTCGTTTCGCTGAATACTGTTGGGCAAGTCTACGATGCCATGGGAGAGCACGGTGTGCATGCGCAAGAAGGAATATGGCGAGGCGCGGTCATCCGACACCTGAGTGGTCGCCTGCTCCGCGAGCGCCGCGTGGCCTCCGACAGAGGAGACTGGAGTGGCATTCTCGTCCTGCGCTACGGAAGTGTCTGCGGGTCCCCTCGGCCGTGCCGTCGGTGGCGGTGTCATCCCCGCAGAACTGTGATCCATGTTCGCGGCCCCCGGGTCAGGTTGTGGAATGATGCGACCTCGCTGCTTGCGCCTTTTCTGACTGCGGGATTCTGTCCGGGCCACGGCGCTAACCGACCTTTCTCGCCCAACGACCATTCTCCCGGACCCTGTGTGCTGATTGGTCCTTGCCGGAGCTTCGGACTTAAGCGGGGGAGAATGTCACGGGGTGAAAGGAAGCGACTTTCCTTTCACCTTTCCCGGTAACCGTAGTATCTCCGGTTACCGGATCATCGTCCCACTGTGACTCTGGGACTAATCTGGTCGAACCCGTTACTCCCGGAACCAGCAATAGCCAGATCCCCGATCGTCCCACAATGTTCTGTGACTCTTTGAACATCGGAACGACGCCTCCGTCTAGATAGCTAACCTTGACTTTTACTTTTGACTTACTCTACACGCTTGTGTCTTGTGTTCGCTCGCTCGCGCCGCGCCTGCCTTCGTCAAATAGTTACAAACCCCGTGACAATGGACACATCGCCCTTTTGAATGAGCGCCAAGCCAACAACGTTGAAAAAAGTCCCAAGTCAATAGAAAAAAGGTGTAGTAGCTTGGCAACTTTTTCGAACGTCATGTCGACGGATCGTCGTAGTGCTTGACCAACGCGCGCTTGGCACGGCTCGCCGACGATGCTGAGAATGGTTTCACCACACACACGTTGGATCTGGCCGACGATGTACTTTTTCACGCGAGCTGACGCGGGTTTGTGCTAGACATTGCAATACACGGATTGGATTGCAAGGCATCGAGATCTCCCACAAGTTACATAAGTTATCTAACAATTAGAAGTCAAATTACTTCTTATGTAACTATTATTGTGCTTTTCAGTAGTTTGCCCGTTGTTTAGCTGCGTTAAACAACCAGAAGTTTAAAATAATATACTAGTGAGCCCGATTGAAGATAAAACAACGCTAAACACAAGTTCTGCATTTCAGCAGAATAAAACAACCCTACTTTATTTCAGCTGCTAACTAATCGAGTTGCAGCACCTGGCCAACTTACGCCGCACAACCATCAGTTCATCACGATGCATACCGTATTAGGATGTGAAATGGGAATACTATACATCGCGTAGTCGTAGTGCGCCCTTGCCTTCCACGTACAGTGCTAAGGTTAGAGCAGATCAAGAGTTGAAGGTATGGCATAGCTTTGAATCATTGGACAGAGCGACGACTACATGTACAGTACTGTAGCCTAACTATATCCCTAACGTTATATACATTACTCGGAGTAGATAATGTTAGTACTGTAGTGATCACGGATGGGAGGTCATGTATGTGGCCATAGCTCCTTCAGTTTCATTGCGTCAAGCACCTTGACATGTTGACGTAAAGCAAGTTGTTTGCCAGAATGAAAACGGCAAACAACTTGTTTTACGAAAGTGCCAGTAAAACCACCTTCAACCAACCAATCATCGCATTAGATGAAGTAACTTTAAATAACGCACCCAACCGTTATTCAAGTTACTTTAGACATTATTTAAGCCT